CCACCAAAGTCACCTGACTTGAAAGTAGCCAAACTCACAGGAATATACTGGAAAAGGTTATGCAAGGGGTAACTACCCAAACATTAAAATTCATCATATAGAATGTATAGTTCACCATGAGGCCATCGAGAGTCTGAGACATTTGTACTATAGATATTGCTGAAACAAAGAGTTAGATCTGAAACTTATTATGCATTGCAGGTGATAGGCATTGTCTGAAACTTCATCTGTGATCCTATAAATTGGAACAAATGAAAACTGTGACTGCTGGATTAGGAGGTGTACAGCAGCAATGTGTACTTCTTTAAATAAATTCTTCTAAAGGTGTGCAATAAGAAAAATTGACCATCCGCTCCCATTTATATCCAAGTGGATGAGTGGAAATAACAATTTACCACCAAGCTGTCGAAAAATGGATTTTCCCCATTGTGGACCAATGGCCAGATTTTCACCCAATGATTCATAATGATCTTGATAGACACGTGAATGGGAGGCAAACAAAGGGATAGAAACTGTATATGGGCAACAAATGGCAGGTCTAAATAAGGATTAGGAATCGTTGCAGGCTTAGTGAGCTGAAGGGCCTGTTTCTGTGCTGTATTTTTTGTTTATATTCATTCATGGGATGAGGACTTCGCTGACCAGGCAGCGTTTATTTCACATCCCTAATTGCCCAGAGGGCAGTTAAGAGTCAACCACATTGCTGTGGGTCTGGAGTCCCATGTAGGCCAGATCAGGTAAGGATGGCAGTTTCCTTCCCTAAAGGGGATTAGTGAGCCAGCTGCGTTTTTCCAACAATTGACAATGGATTCACGGTCATCATTAGATTCTTAATTCCAAATATTTATTGAATTCAAATTCCACCATCCTCCATGGTGGGATTTGAACCTGGGTCCCCAGAACATTATCCGGGTCTCTGGATTAACTGTCCAACGATAATACGACTAGGCATCACCTCCCCTATATCATGTTGTATTGTTTTGTATAACGGTCTCAGGAAGACATTAATAAATGCAAATTACTGGACATGACACAATGGCTGCCAAAGACTTGGCAGCATGGTGGCTCAGTGTTAGCACTGCTGCCTCACAGCGCCAGGGACCTGGGCTCGATTCCACCCTCGGGTGACTGTCTGTGTGGAGTTTGCTCATTCTCCCCGTGTACGCGTGAGTTTCCTCCGGGTGCTCTGGTTTCCTCCCACAGTCCAAAGATGTGGATTGGCCAGGCTAAATGGCCCATAGTGTTCAGGGATGTGTAGATTAGGTGGGTTATAGGGTGATGGGTCTGGGTGGCATGTTCTGAGGGTCGATGTGAACTTGTTGGGCCGAAAGGCCTGTTTCCACACCGTAGGGATTCTACGGTTCTACGGCTTACCCACCCAAAGAACCAATTGAAAATACACACAGAAATGAATATTTCACAGGAGGCTCTGACAGTATTTTGGCAGATGGTTGAAGAAAAGTTACTGCCTCCATTTTCTGTCTCTGTAAATGTTGGCACCTGGATCCCACAGAAACAGGTACAAACAAAAATCATAAAGGAACCAAAAAATGTTAATGGCAGCAACATTTGCTGTGACTGACTATATCCAAGAAACTAACTAATCATCGTCAGCCCCAGGTTAAAATTCAATGACGGGAATACAACCACATTCCTCTAAACCATATAATTCTTAATCTCCCCTTGTATTGTACTTGCGTGTATGGTCCAAGGGACAAGTTTTATCTTTTTCTTGAGTTTCGCAGTTAATAAATTTGCTCTTTCTTTCTTTGACTTAAGAAAAGCTTATTAATGGGTTTCTTATTTTTCACAGAAAAAAATGAAATTCATTTTTTAATTTTAGACAGTTGTATCCAAACTCATGCAAACACAATTTGTTTTTGTATATTTGCTGTGACCAAGTGGGGATTTTGAAGAGATGGGAGTCAATTTACTCCTTGCAGCCTGGTAGTAAAACATATATATTCCAATTTTTTATAAATATTGACAGCTGATTAATCTGCAGTGCTCTTTCCAGATGTTCTATTTTCTGAAGTCCTATTGTTGCTTTGTACTTTCTATAATACAAAGACATTAAAAAATTAAAATTGTTTCACCCTTTCTATTTTTAAATTATTTGTTTGTCTATTTCCAGCTAGCTTTCTCTCTCATACTGTAATTATTCCTTCCTTATTAATTTTTTTGTCATTCTTTCCTGTCTTTATATTCTGTCCTATCTGAAGACTTGCCACCTGTCTGCACAATTATGTGCTTTTTCATTAAGATTCATACTACCTTTAATCTTTCTGGTTCTCATGCTCCCCTTGGAACTCTGCTTTCTCAATAAAATGAATCTATTCTGCGTATTCTGAAATATCTCCTTAAATATCTAGCACTGCATCACTATTGATCTACCCCTTAACCATTGCTGAGTCTAGTTCTGAACTCTAGATTTTGATAATTGAATTTGAATTCCACCAAGCTACCATGCTGGGATTTGCAGTCATGTCCCCAGACCATTAACCTCATCCTCTGGACTACCAGTCCAGTGACATTATCACTTTTTAATCATCCCCACGGGTTATTCAATACTTCCCTTTTTTTATTACTCACTTGATCATTCAGTGCCACGTTTCCTAGTTCTCTGAGAAATCATTGCATATAAATCAAAATGCACTTCAAAAGAAATTAATTAACCATAAATACTTGATGCATAATCAAAATGAGCTAATAAACTCAGATTTCATTTTCATGGCTAATGAGGATATTCACTCTGGCTGCCTAACGCTCTTTAACAAAGTTAGCTGCATGAGTAATCCTATCAAAACAGCATGAAATGTCCACGAGTGTGAGAGAATTTCTGTAAATGATGGATAGTGCAGGACTTGGACTGCATAGCTGACATCAAGATCAATATTACTATTTAAGTGTGTAAGAAGATAGAATATAGAATATAGAATATAGAACATAGAACTGTACAGCACAGGAATGTGTCCTTCAGGCCATGATGTTGCGCCAAATATGATTCCAAGTTAAACTAATTCCTTTTGCCTGTCCTTGGTCCATATCCCTCCATTCCTTGTATATTCATGTGCTTATCTAAAAGTCCTTTAAATGCCCCTATTGTATCTGCCGCCACCACTACCCTGGCAGCGTCTTCCAGACTCCAATCATTCCGTGTAAAAAAATTTGCCCCTCACATCTCCTTTGAACTTTCCCCCCACTTCTTAAATGCATGCCCCCTACTATTAGGCATTTCAACTCTGGGAAAAAGATTTTGACCATCAACCCATCTATGCATCTCATAATTTTATAGACTTTTATCAAGTCTCCCCTCAGCCTCCGCTGCTCCAGAGAAAACAACCCCAGTTTTTCTAGACCTTCCATATAGCTCTTACCCTCCAATTCAAGCAGGATCCTGCTAAATCTCTTCTGCACCCTTTCCAAAGCCTCCAAATCCTTCCTGTAATGTGGTGACGAGAATTGGAGTAACCAAAGTCTTATAAAGTTGCAACATGACATCCTGACTTTTGTACTCAATTCCCTGACCAATAAAATCAAGCATGATATACACCTTCTTTACCACCCGATCTATATGTATGGCCACTTTCAGAGAACTACAGACTTGAACCCGAAGATTCCTCTGTACATCAATGCTGTTCAAGGTCCTGCCATTAATTGCATACTTTTCTTTAACATTTGATATCCCAAAGTGCAGCACCTTACACTTACCCAGAATAAACTCCATCTGCCATTTCTCCGCCCATATCTGCAACTGATCTATATCCCGCTGTATCTTTTGACAACCTTCTACACTGTCCACAATTCCACTGATCTTTGTATCATCTGCAAACTTACTAACCCACTCAACTACATTTTCATCCAAGTCATTTATATATATATATCATTAAGAGTGTAGGTCCCAGTACAGATTCCTGTGGAACACTACTAGTCACGGACCTCCAGACAGAAAAAAAATTCCTTTGTTTTCCTAATTTAATTCTTTATAAATTGTTCCCCTGTAAAAATGGGTTAGTTTTGTAAAAAGTTGGTTTGAATCTTCTTGTTGGTCATTTTAGAAAAGGTGTAAGACTTTAAGAGATTTCTAGTCTGTCAAAACAATATGCTAACTCAATGTTTCAGCTGGAGTGTCTGGTCAGTTATTAAAATTTCTACTGGTCAAAGGGAGTTTGTGGAGCTTTCCCATAGTACACCTGTTCATTGAACTCCTGAACAACATGGGCAATTATCAGAAAGTTGGGAGAAATACATAAGTTCAGCAATATGGAGCTGAGATCAAACAATTCCATTTTCCAAACAAGTGTTGGACAGAGATTCTTGCTAGTGAGTGGTGAGCAGACTGTATTACCATGTATTAATATCTTCATCAAAATATCATCTTACCTCACTGATATGCAGTTTCCCATTTTCCCACCTGCTGCACAGAAACTAAACAGCAACAGTTCCCATAATAGAACTCAGTGTAGTAACCTGGCAACTCCAGCATTCTGCTTGGTCCTCTTGCCCTCTGACATCTTGGGGCATGCTCCATGGGCAGCAACCACACGCACCAACCCCATTCTTACACATCCATGACGAAATCCAGAATGGGATGTAAGTTACATCTACTGACAACTGTTCAGGACAGCTATCACTTGACTGGATGCACAATTGTGATTTAAAGATAGGCCAGTACCCAAATTCCAGGAGGTCCCAGCAGTAGTCAGTACTGCCATCTGTGGTAATTGGGAGCATATGATGAGTGGGGTGTGGTACACTGTGCATAGTTAATGAAATGAACTGGGAAAATAGCACAAGAAAACATGCTAGGGCTTGTGGAGTGAAATCCTCCATGAATCTCACCAAAACTGGTTTTGATAGGATTCAGCCACAAATAACTTGTAGTCACTGCTTCCAGATCTCTGAGCAGAGATGATTAATAATTTCAAAAGGAAATTAGATAGAATTTGAAGAAACTTAATGTGTAAGGTTACAAGGCTATGGATGGATATTGAACATCTCCTTTTGTGCTGAAGTAGTTCCATAATGATTCTTTCTTTGGACCTTATTGACTAAAGCACTACTACTGTTAAACTCCCTATCCTTTCCTGTCTTGCCCTATTGTCTTCACCCAAATCTCAATACAGCCTTCTTGCCTTTATTTTCCAAATCTCCCTTAACTTGACCCTTCCTCACCCTTAGAGTTTAAAAACAGTTATTGTTAAATGATTCACCAGATTACTGATTCCAGCCCTGTTTAAATGGAGCCTATGCTAATGGAACATTCCCCTCTTTCCCCAACACCAGTGCTGTAGTCCCATAAATCAAACATCACATACACCACTCTTTGGGTTATGGATTCAATTCTCTAATCTATGACAAACGGTGCAGAGATTATTAACTTTGAGGTTCTGTGTTTTGATTTGGTCCCTTACTCCTCAAACTCTCAGCAAGGCATTCTTCTCAGCCCTACCTATGAAGCTGATTCCTACATGGACCACGAGAACTGGGTCTTCTCCTTTCCACTCCAGGTTCGTATTCTGAATTGCTGGGGGTTAGGAACGGATGATTTGGAAAGTTGCATAATGTATTTGGTGTTCCTTTAGTCCGGAAAAAACTATCAACAAGCTGGAGACGAGTTCGAATTTATTATAGCTGACAGAGTCTACAGGACACCTACCCATCAAAAAGCGGACTGGCTGAGTCAAATAATTAACCTGCTTGCGATTGAATGGGGAGCAAAACATTTATCAAAATATAAGCTGCATTAAATATTACTCAATAAAGTTTGGATTGTGCTAGAACGATTCGGCACTATTCTGTTTAGTGGTGGAGTAGTTTGGAATTTGCCTGTTTTTGGAAACTTGTTTCGAAACAATACTATTTTATGTCGTACATTGTTTTTTGACTGATGTTTGAATGAATTGAACTTCTTCGTTTTCAATAAGAAACACATTTGAGAAAGAATTTTATACGACAGTTCAGCTTTTAATTTTATTTTATGGATGATCTAGTTTGGGCCAACTTGTTTTGAATGGGGTACGGTGATGGTTTTCGTCGACTTTAAAGTCAAATTAAGTTTAGTTATCGAAGGAAATGTGGGAATTGCAAGACATTATTTAGAAAACACTCAAATCTCCAACTTTCAATTCATTAATTAGATTGTTGAAACATGGCAAGAGCCAAAAGCTTTAATTGTAAAATTTCCTACAATTTTATTCAATCTAGACTGCAGTTTAATTTTAATATCACCCATTTGAGGGGTTGGATAATTAGAATTTCTGCCTCATTTGCACACATGCGGCTCGTTTCCGTCTGATTAATCACTAACGATCTTTGAAAAGCCACATGTCAGCGTTCAGGGCAACAGGTATTTGTGGAAATATGTGCGATTTTCTCTCTTTAAGGTGACTGTCTAGGTCGGCTTGCTTTTAATTTAAGCTTGAAATGTATTTCTTTGTTTCCTCAATTAAACGTTGTGGACAAGAAATCTATTTCTTGCTGCTGTCTAACTTATCTAGCTAGTGTGTTTTATTCGTTTCTACATCATTTTACTAGCTTCCCCCTGAAATGTATCTATGCCGCATCTCGATACTGCTTGTGATAACGTTTCATATTGTAATGACTGTTTTCTAGGTGAAGAAGGGTTTTTCACAATTTTTATTGTTAAACTTATTCCACTTACAACTTTCGTTTTAGACTTGTCTACAAGGAGAAGCATTTTTCTCCTAAATCAACCTATCAAACCTCTTAACTTAGACTTCAATTAATTCGCCCTTCAATTTTTCTCTTCTCAAGGTAAGAATCCTACTTGATATTAATATTTATTATCTTTTAATCCTGGTATCGTTTCTATATATCCATTTTAGATCAGCTACGTTGTCCATAGTGTCTAGGGATGTGCCGGAAAAGTAGATTAACCATGGTAAATGGAGGGGCGTGGGGACCGGTTTTGGGTGGGATCCTCTTTTAGAGAATCGGTGTAGATTCAATTGGCCGAAGTCTTTCGGCATGTAGGGATTCTTCTACGATCCTATAACTTTTTTAAATGGAACCAAAAGCTGTGTAGTATTGTGACTTCTTTGGGTTGTTTACTTGTACTGTAACAATGAGGGGAGAATTGAACACGCACAGTTGCGGGTCAAAAGGAGGCAGGTGAGATGTTTTAAACTGTAGCTGCGATAATTTTTTTTATCACTGGCATGTAACCTGATATCCCATATTACGTGATGAGATGAGATGCGCTCTAGAACTTAATATTATGGAGTAAATTAAACAGAATCATGGCAGGATAGATCCTCAAATATTCTATTTGAAAATATTCATGACAAATACTTTGCTTTTTGTAGTTGGCATTTTTGTAGATGCAATTTGAAAAGAGTGACGTGGATGCTTGGTTACATCACACTTTTTGTAACAGTACACAATTCGGGTTTTCCGTTGAACGAAATTTGAAAGAATCAAAATATTTACTCCATTTTGTGTCCTCGTTTTTCAAGGACCGCAATTTCCCCCCTCAGTGGTCGAAAATGCCCTGACCGCATCTCTCCCGTTCCCCTCACCGCAATAACAACAAAGACAGAATGCCCCTTGACCTCACTATCACCCCATCAACCTCCGGATTCAATGCATCATTCTCTGCCACTTCTGCTACCTGCAATCTGACCCCACTACCAAAGATATTTCCCTCCCCACCCTTATCTGCCTTCCAGAGGGGCTGCTCTCTCCAACACTCCTTTGGGCTCCACACTCCCACTAGCCCCACCACCCCGGCACTTTCCCTGCAAGGGCAGGAGGTGCTACACCTGTCCCTACACCACCACCCCCCTCCCCTCCATCCCAGGCCCCAAGAAAACCTTCCACGTTAATCAGATGTTCACCTGCACATCTAATGTGGTATATTGTATCTACTGTTCCTGATTGTGGCGTCCTCTACACCGGGGAAACCAAGTGGAGCCTTGGAGACCGCTTTGTGGAGCACCTACGCTTGGTTCATGACAAACGACAACACCTGTGAGTCACAAACCACTTCAACTCCCCCTCCCCCTCCTTGGATGACATGTCCATCCTGGGCCTCCTCCAGTGCCTCAATGATGCCACCCGAAGGCTGGAGGAACAGCACCTCATATTCTGCCTGGGAACCCTGCAGCCCAAAGGTCTCAATGTGGACTTTACAAGCTTCAAAATCTCCCCACCCTGACCTCATCCCAAGACCAGCCCATCTTGTCCCCGCCTCCTTGGCCTGTCTGTTTTCTCTCCACCTATCTGCTCCTCTATCCACCTTCTATCGTCGCCTCCCCCTCTCTCTATTTATTTCAGAGCTCTCCTTCTCCTTCCCCTTCCCCACCCTGTTATCTCAGCTCCAGCATCGGCAGTTCCTACTATTCATCAGAATAACTCTACAGGAATCCAGCTACACTGGAGATCTAACAATCAAATGGGTATTGCTGATACACATCAAAGCGTGTCATGTTGCTACGTGTGAATTTGCCCTGATGAGTGCAATGTATCAGGCTGTCATCAAGCCTTAACATGTTCTGCTTATCACACAATGGAGCAAGATTGATTGATAGATAGTAAGCATGTACCTTTCAGCATGCTTGTAACAAGCAAGGTGCTGGCTAGACCCAATTAGTCTCTGCTTGCAAAACTCCAGTCTAACATTGGGTGTGATTTTATGATTGACAATCCTGTAGCGTAATTCTTCGATCAGGTTTGCACACAGCTCTTGTTTCAAATCCAGAAAATGCACGCCAATGTTCTCTGGTTCATTTCTGCCGCCAGTGATAACAATGCCTTGATCATCAGAACCAATTTGCCTGGTTGAAAATTTAGAGATTGGCAGTTAACAGGTGTATTCTCCATCATGCAAGCCACCATCACTATCCTCTTTTCTCTAGTGCATTCCTTTTTTACTTGCTTGCAAATTGTCCTGGCTATTGAAATGTTTTGACTGTATTTGTAACACAGATTCTGCACTACCAAATGAGAGTGACACGAATATGTCAGGTGGTTGTTGTGTAACCATTATCATAGGATCCCTCCAGTGTGGAAAGAGGCCCTTTGGCCTAACAAGTCCACACTGACCCTCAAAGCATCCCACCCAGACCCATCCCCCTGTAACCCACCTAATCTACACATTCCCATGCACAATGGACAATTTTTAGCATGGCCAATCCACCTAGCCTGCACATCTTTGGACTGTGGGAGGAAACTGGAACACCAGGAGGAATCCCACGCAGACGCGGGGAGAATGTGCAAACTCCACACAGTCACCCAAGGGTGGGATTGAACTTGCGTCCCTGGCACTGAGGCAGCAGTGCTAACCACTGAGCCACCATGCCGCCCCTTTGTATCTCACTTGTATCCCATCATCCTGTGTATCAAGTTTTAGCTTTCTCTTTTGCAATATAGCTATATGTAACTCCACTACAGCAATTGTAAATTGAGAGTATCAATTGGTGTTAGCACTGCAGTTTATTTTACATACTGGTTTTATTCACTGGATTGTTGCTGCTTGTATTTTCATCTCATGTTTTTTATGTCCTAATGCTACACAATACAAGTTAACTATTATTTAATGCTCATATAAAGTAATGAATGTGGAGCAGAGTTAAATGCTCAAATAAAAATCATGACATAGATCCAATCCTAATCCTTACGTTCAAGTGTCATTACAGATATTTTCTAACCAACTGTTTTAGAGATGTTAGTGTGCACAACTGGACCAGGTGAGATTTGAACCCAGGCTGTCTGGCTCAGAGATGGGAATACTGCCACTGTATTGTGCCATTATTTGCAGTCTTGTTGGAGAAACTGGCTTAAGCAGAAATGCTCAGTCAAGGGTCATCTGCCTTGCCAATAGATACTGGGCTAAAACCTGAAGCATTTTACAAAGTTAGAAACAGACTTTGAAATAACATAACAGAAGTTGCTGGCAAAACTGAACATTTTTGGCAGCTTCTAGAGAGAAAGTATCTCAATGTTTCAAGACTTAAAATATTGACACTACTTGCTCTTGGATGCTGGCAGATTTTCAGGAATTTCTGGCTTTTGATTTCCAGCTTCTGCAGGTCTCTTGTTTAGTCTTTTCAATATTCTGGTCATCTAGTCAACTCTGAATGTGCTTAAAGATTTTAAGATTATGATAGGCCAAACTGGAAGAAAAATGCCTATCGGGATACTCAAACACCAACTAACCACCAAGAGGTATGACCAATTCTCACTGGTCTCCATACACACTGCCAAAGAAGGACACGAATTTGTCTGGGACAACACATCCATAATAGTCTGAGCCAAACAGATATGCCAGGGAATTCCTGGGGTCCTGTCATTCCAACCAGAACTCCATCAACAAACACATTGACCTGGACCTGATACAAACCACTGAGAAACAGAACTGGAAGCGATGTCTCGGTATGCTGGGGTGCTTGGCATATAAGTAACAAGCGGGACGTTTGATAAGGTTCCCCATGGTAGGCTGATGGAGAAAGTGAAGTCGCATGGGATCCAGGGTGTACTAGCTAGATGGTTAGAGAACTGGCTGGGCAATAGGAGACGGGCGTGGGGGGGGGGGGGGGGGGGGTGTAGTGGAAGGGAGTTCCTCAAAATGGAGAACTGTGACCAGTGGTATTCCACAGGAATCAGTGTTGGGACCACTGTTTGTGATATACATGAATGATCTGGAGGATGGTATAGATGATCTGATTAGCAAGTTTGCAGATGACACTAAGATTGGTGGAGTAGCAGATAGTGAAGGGGACTGTCGGAGAATACAGCAGAATATAGATAGATTGGAGAGTTGGGCGGAGAAATGGCAGATGGAGTTCAATCCAGGCAAATGCAAGGTGATGCATTTTGGAAGATCCAATTCAAGAGCGAAATACACAGTAAATGGAAAAGCCCTGGGGAAAATTGATGCATGGAGAGATCTGGGTGTTCAGGTCCATTGTACCCTGAAGGTGGGAATGCAAGTCAATAGTGGTCAAGAAGGCATAGAACATACTTTCATTCATCAGACAGGGTATTGAGTACAAGAGTTGGCAGGCCATGTTGCAATTGTATAGGACTTTGGTTCAACCACATTTGGAATACTGCATACAGTTCTGATCGCCACATTACCAAAAGGATGTGGATGCTTTGGAAGAGGGTGTGGAGGAAGTTCACCAGGATGTTGCCTGGTATGGAGGGCGCTAGCTATGAAGAGAAGTTGAGTAGATTAGGATTATTTACATTAGAAAGACGGAGGTTGAGGGAGGACCTGATTGATGTCTACAAAATCATGAGGTATAGACAGGGTGGATAGCAAGAAGCTTTTTCCCAGAGTGGGGGACTCAATTACTAGGGGTCACGGTTTTAAGAGAGATATGCGTGGAAAGTTCTTTACTCGGAGGGTGGTGGCTGCCTGGAATGCGTTGCCAGTGGAGGTGGTAGAGGCGAGCATGATAGCGTCATTCAAGATGTATCTAGACAGATACATGAATGGGCAGGGAGCAGAGGGATACAGACCCTTGGAAAATAGGCGACAGGTTTAGATAGAGGATCTGGATCAGTGCAGGCTTGGAGGGCCAAAGGGCCTGTTCCTGTGCTGTAATTTTCTTTGTTCTTTGGGACAGAACACCAATGTTTCACCAGAGGTGCACGGACAAAACATCTGCAATCGAACCCATCAGCTTGGCGAGCAAGTTTACAACCTCTCAATGTGCTATTGTGTTTTAAGGCTGATTTTATTACAATGAGCACATGTATCGGTTATTGTTACCAAGTCCCAGCACTGCAATTGTCTTGCCATGCCACTTTTGTCATTTAGTTGAATAGAAGTGCACAATTAAGTGGTGACTTCTTTCCTTTCATTCCACCACCACCCCCCCCCCCACCCACACCAAGTGAAAAGAAAAATCCACCATTCAAGTGCCAACCAGCTTTTAATTCACCCTTTCATTTATTGTGATACTCCCTCTCCTCAAATGGCTCACTACACTTTTGTAAGAGGGGGTCTGAGCACTGTTTGTAGAAATGGAGAATCCATTGAATCCCCAAAGTGTTATGACACCTTCAGCCATTTCAAATGGTCTCAACAGGTGCCTGGCCTGGCTTTAAGAATGATTCTTTGTATGAAGATCTCTGCATATTGCCTGTCTTTAGTAAAGCTCGCTATAGTATTTCTGACTGTCAACTTTCCTAATTTTAGGGAAGAAGAATTGTACTGGGCAAGTAAAGGAGTGACTGAAGGTATGCCAGTTAAAAAGGAATTCATGGTAAGATATTTCTCATGAACAGCTAGTTCATGAGTGTTGTGAATCTTTTATACCTTTTTAGAAGCTAACTGTAGATATAAAGAGGAATTTGGTTAAACTGAAGCGAAAAAAGCTTGGAGTTAATAAAATTACACTTCAACTTGATCTTGAAGGTAATGACAATGAAGAGTAAATACTGAACAATAGATAGCTCATTCTTGGACCTCTCGGTAGAGACTGTGTGTGTGTGTGTGTGTGTCTCTTGTTAGTGCTAAAATGTGCCTTATAAACTAGCATTTCTGGGAACGATCATTGTAAAGTGTCATTTCTAAAGGTGGAAACAATTCATATATGCGTTGCAGAATATTAAGTTCTTTGCCTGTTTGTTTCAGTCAGCCCGAGGTACGCAGCATTGTCATGGAAAACAGATTAATATGGAGTCTTGGTTAGAATGTTCTTTCTCTTTCTTTTTTTTTTTGTTTTAATCTGTTTGCTGATTGGAGGAAAAGTCAGAATCAATTGTAAGGACGTCAGGCCCAGGTTAAGCTATTCAATCTCTCTAGCCTGCTCTGCCATTTTAGATCGTGGCTGATCATCTTCCTTTGCTGGATTTCTTTGTTATCATATCCCTTTTATCATTACTGACTATAAATCCTTTGCTTTGGTGATGATGTTTACGAAGTTCCAGTCCATGGTGGAATTTGAATTCAGTGAAGATCTGGAAGTAAGAGTCTAATGATAACCACAAATCCATTATTGATGGTTGGAAAAACCTGTCTGGTTGAATAATATCCTTTTAGGGAAGGAAACGGCCATCCTTACCTGGTCTGGACTATGTGACTCTGGACGCTCAGCAATATGGTTGACTCTCTAACTGCCCATCCCAGATTGCAGTTAAATGTTGACCCAGCCAACAATGCCCTCATCCTGAAAATGAATCAAAATAAAATGGATTGAGTCAACAGGAGGTGATAGAATGTGGTTAAGGCTGTATCTCAATTTGGGTTTTTGAAGGAAAAACAGTTGGATGATTTGCTTTAGCTGGCTGTTTAGTGGAATAAATCTGCAGTGGTCCTTGGCACCTTGTGGCAGAAATCCGTCAGCAGAGTTAGTTTGGAAAGCTTGGAGGAGGTAGTGGATATCTGTCGGCAAATCGAACCAGGAGCAGAGGCATCCAGTCATGAAGTCTGAGGAAAAGGTAGAAGTTTGTTCACTAGAAGGGCTATTAAAAGGCATTCTATAAAAGTTATATAGAGTAACTTCTATATGAAGAATAGAAGTAAATTTGAATAAATTACTACTTTTTAAAATTTTTCCCAGTAAAAGTGAATGAACCTTCAAGATCTTGTAAGATACGGGAACTCTTGACGATGGGCTAGAGAGGGAGAATCAATACCTAAAGAGTTTTTATCATAAATCTTCAGTATGAATTTGGGTGGGATGCTCTTCCAAGAGTCGGTGTGGACTTGTTGGGTCCAATGGCCTGTTTCCACACCGCAGGGATTCTGCACTTCATAGAATCAATAAAGCATTCAATCCTAAATTTAGCATTACTTGCCATATTGTAATAAAGCATCCCTATATTCTCTAGATGAGAGAATGTAATCATCTTTGATATTGAGTACTGACCTAGTAAAGTCTGTCAATGATGGGCCATACCCTGTGATTGACTGTAGGTATTACTCTTTTGCTAGAGGAGCAAATGGTTATAGATTGAAGTGTCCTATACTGCGTTGAAGTCTGTGGCACTTGGGTTAAGCCAACCATCTCTCTAATGAGAACAGCCCTATGGTCTAGTGGGATTATGGCAGGTTGTACTGTAGAAGAACCAGCCGGAAGCTCTCCTGCTGTTGCTTGCACATCAGCAACTGTGTGTGTGTGTGTGTGGTCGTGGCATTGAGTGTCACTCGCTTCTTCACCACCGCCTCTCCCCCTCCTCCCCCACTGCACTATTTCTTCTTTATTAACAAGAACGGAATTGTGAGCGGTGTTAGACTACATGACTGATCAGGCCTGCTCCACCACTTACACAGGTTGTGGCTGAACTTCTAAAAGGAATCCACTTTCTTCCTCTGTTTTCATATTCCTTGCTTTCCCCTTCCAAACAAAGATATCAATTAATGGCAGTCTTGAACCTACTTTGAACACTCGTGAAATAAAGATCCACGGTTGTTTGTGATGGAAAATTTCTGATTTGTAACACCAAATTCTTTCTCTGGCAGTCAGAATTGCCACTGGCTCGTTCTAGACGAGGATTTTGGTCCGAAGCTCTCCCGGCAGTTGAAACACATTCTCAGCATTTGCTTGTCAAGCCACCTTTGTCTCTATGTATAACCTCCTGCTTTGCTGAACTAATTGTCATATTGAACAACTTTTCCCTTGAACTCTCAATTTGCTGAATTGTTTGAAAATGTTGCTATGGGAACCTATTGTGTGTCTGGGCTGTACCTACCTTTTGCGGGTGAACTAAGAAGGATGCAGATACACTTCAAAGTGGTTTGGACAAGTTTGAGTGAGTGGGTAAATACAAGGCTCATTAGGTATAATTTGTATAAATGTGAGATTATCCACTTTAGTAAAAAGAGAGAGGCAGTTATTATCTGAATGATAGATTGGGAAAAGGGGAGGTGCAATGAGATCTGTGTATCCTAGTACACCAGTCACTGAAAGTAAGCATATAAATGCAATAGGTGGAGGTGGAAAATGGTATGTTGGTTTTCATAACAAGAGGATTTGACTACAGGAGCAGAGATGTCTTGCTGAGACCATACCTGGAATATTGTGTGCAGTTTCAGTATGCTTATCTGAGAAAGATCCTCTTCTGGCTATGGAGGGAGTGCAAAGGTTGACTAGACTGATTTCTGGAATAGCAGGACTGATGTGAAGAGAGACTGGATAGAGTTAGTACTGTATTCACTGGAATTTTGAAGAACAGTGGGGGTGGTTGATTTTGATAAAATCCCTACAGTATGGAAACAGGCCATTCTGCCCAATAAGTCCCACCAAGGGTGGAGTCAAACCCAGGTCCTTGGTGCTGAGGCAATAGTGCTAACCACTGAGCCACCGTGCCGGTGCCTTTTGTAGGAACCTATAAAAGTCTAGCAGGACTAGATAGGGTAAACACAGCAGAGGTTCCTGATGGCTCTGCTAGAATTGGGAGTCTAAGGATTTGGGTAGATGATTTAGGACTGATGACTTTTTTGTGTTGTGTGGTGGTGGTGTTGTTGTTTCACCCAGTGGTAGCCTGTGGAGTTTTCTGCCAACGAAAGTGGTTGAGGCCAAAATATTGGACACTTTCAAGGTGTTGGATGTAGAAGGGATCAAAGGAAATGAGGGAGGGTGGGAATAGGGTATTGAGCTGGATGATCAGCCTTGGTCATGTTGAATGAAAGGAGTAGTCTTAAAGGTTCAAATAGCATAATCTTGATCCTGTTTTCTATATCTGCCTTTCTAGTAGTCTGGTATTGCAGCTCCAGTGTCCTATATTTTAATGGTGTTTTCCAGTGCATGTTAGCCAGCTTAGAAACAGAATTATTCACTACATTAAAATGGAACTGGAGATCTGAAAGAAACAGAACCAGCTGGAGAAAATTCACGGGTCTGGCAGAAACAATGGGAAGTTGCCCACAGCTGCTGCCAGATCTATTTCTCCAGCAATTTTTCCTTGGTAAGGATTCAGGTGGGTAGAGGAAAGCTTGTAGATGTGGTATGTTTGTTTGCAAAATGCATCTAATAAAATTAATGTAAAGATTGCACGTGATAAAGTACATGGTGTGGACAACATTTAGTATAGATAAAGGGTCAGTTTGCTAAGCAGTAAGCGGTGTAGAGATGGGATGGGCCTCAGTCAGGATGGCAAGCTATTACAGTGCAGTGCCATAGGAATCAGTGTTGGAGCCTCCGCTGCTTGCATCCTGTCCCCTCACTTCTATATAGATTGTACAGTAGCTAAATTTTTCCAATGATACCAAGATTTCTGAAGAAGGGTCCAGACCCAAAACGTCAGCTTTCCTGCTCCTCTGCTGCTTGGCCTGCTGTGTTCATCCAGCTCTACACTTATCTCCAATGATACCAAGTTTGGTGCCTTTATCTGCTGATGGACTTTATACATTTGTATGTGCCATCACTTCCCATTAGATTCTGGTTATCATTACCCAAATTGCTACCCTGTCCTGTACTATGACTGTTTGCTCTTTGCCAATTCTTCTGACTCTCTTCCATGTGTGGCACCCCTGAACCATTTATTGCCCCAGTTATATAATTTTGCCAGAAAATGGGTACCAGCATAGTTCATGTGTAGGTTGTTCCAATGGAGCAGCTCCCAGCATTTTTCCCCAGTACTTGAGGAATCAAAACCAACTTGTCTTGCACCTATCTTTTGTGCCTATATTATTGCTCTGATTTGATTTACCTGCCTATTTTTTATTCCCTTCTTTGCTCTTTTCAAGTTTTCTCATTTGTAACTGAATCCTAACTATCTCCATTTGTCTTTTATCTGGATTATCATTTTATTCCTCAAGTTCGGAGGCAATATCTTGATTTCTGATTTTTTTTTATTATTTTTGGCACCTGCTTTTAAATCTATATTCCTAAATTTTTCCTTGAGCTTAAATATTTTTCCTCTTGGAAGGCACTCTGTCTTCAGCAGCAGACACAACTAAATCATCCCACAGGGTGACTAATCCAACGTCCCAGGCTAATGGTCTGGGGGATGTGGGTTAGAATTGCACCATGGCTAAAATTTGCATTCAATTTCAATTCACTCTGGGTAGAACTGAATTGAAAATATATTTGGCTCATAGATGCACTTGAGGGAAGGAAAATCTGCCATCTTCTCCTGGTCTGGCCTACATGTGACACCATATCCACAGCATTGTGTTTGATTTTTCTAAGCTGGCCTAGCACATGGTTCTTTTCACTAACTGCCTCAAAACAATTGAAAGTAGATAGGCCACCTGGCATCAACAGGGCATCAAATGAGGATGGCATACTTGATATGAAAACTTCCGTAACCCTCCACA